GGTAGTCATAATTAGATAATTTGAAAAGTTTCGAGTGATACTAGTAATCAGTCGACAGTATCGGAAATTAAAAATATTGTCCACGGATGTTATCATTCAAAACGGTAACGCATTCTCGCTGGCCGGAATATGTTTCTGCCATGGACCAATTTGGTGCCGCCGCGAGAGGGCGTGGAAAACGACGAACGTGCGATAGCAAATAGTGCAAATTAATGTATATGTCCGTGAACTAATGCAAGTTTAATAAATCCCATTTTACACCTTGCATTTACCTTATTAAGTAACTTTATAAACAAAATTATGTCGAGTTTACAACAGGCCTATATCCGCCATTTTATATAAATATTTAAAAATTTCACGAGTAATATAGAAACGGGACCTCAGGTGGAAAGTGACATCAAGTATAAAAAATGACGATCTGATGTACTCAAATTTGTAAGTGTACGGCTCCTACAACTTCAAAGCCCCAGATGTCCCCAATAACGTCCAGACCCCACTGGGCAAACTGTACAATAAATACTAGTAAGCGAAAACGAACGTGCGTCCGTGTGCATGTGACCATCCAGCACAGTAGATATTTCAAAAATCATGTGCAAAGTAGCCTCGATTGAACGTTGTAACGACTAATTACTCGGAAGTGATTAGATGTGAATTAATATTAGAATAATAAGCACATAGCTTCACGTACTTTAGGCATGGAGGTACAACTGTATACCTTTAGGTACTTTCGACAATGATACCAACCTCGACCTGAAGTCAATTGTTGCGAATAATAAATAGGAATAATAAAACAATATAAGTTTTATAACGCAAATTCACTGTTTGTCGAGATCAAAATCGACGATTGGCAATGGCTATTCTGGCGGTTGTTACAGACAATATTTTCAGAAATCTGAGTGTATTGTTATAATGAAGCCACATCATATCACAGCAAGTAATTGTACTTATTTTTTTAAATTGTATTGTAGTTAGTATCATTCAGGGGTTACCCATTTAAATTACAAGAAAGGCGCCGGGGAATTACACCGGGAAATTACAGTGGAAATCGAGTCACCTCGAGAGTTCATCACGAGCAGCAGCGTGCAACAATAATAGGAAGCTTGTTAAATGTACAGGCGGTATTGTACAAATGCGATTTTTTTTTGTCAAATGGGTGGTGTCTAGTGTTTATCAACACCTACCGATGGCAAGTGAGAATTCTTGCATTTAGAGTAGTTAATGTCAACTTGAACCATATTTATAATACTCATCGGTTAAAATTATCTCTGATTTTTTTAGTCAGTTAGTGTTACGTCTGAACACTACTTTTATGACTCATTCAGTTAAAACTACAAATACAAAAAATACAAAAGCGTTCACTATTAATCGTCGAACTGCACTGATTATTGCTGTGCATTATTCTGTAAATACTAGTAGTATATTCAAGTTCACAAATACCTGACGAAAATGTTTTATTCACATTTTCCCAATTTCTCTTTCATTATGCAGTCGTCGTATATACTGTAAAACATGTCTTTTTAGCTAGCATGTTATTTTAGCTAATTTAGCTACTGTAAAACGACTAATTTTCAATAGGTTTAAATTTCGCTGACTTACCATTTCAGGCATATTCAGTGGGTTTTAAATTCACGGTTTTATCATTTAAAATGTGTTCTATGCTCAATTTTACATTCACTGGGTTTTAATTTAGCTGCGCTTTTTCCAGACAGCGAAATAAGCAAAATTAAAACCCAGTGAATAATTAATCCTTTTACAGTAATCAATAATTTCGCTATAAAAATTAAAAATTGTAATTGAAGTAAAAATAGGCCTACTATTTGCTGACTAAATCCGCTTGAAAGCAAGTCAGTCAAGCTTGCCGACAGTACTGCCGTGAATTACAGGTCGTCGTTTTTGCTCTATAACTCCTTACAATCGGAGTTTCGTTTAGTTCAGTTTTGTCGACTTGCAGTACGATTGTTATAAAATTATTACCAGCACAAAACAGTTTTCATTTCCAAGAGCTAAGAATGTACGTGTAACTGCTTTGTCTAC